ATGAGAAGTCCCTTGAAGCTCCCCCAGCTCCAAGTCAGACCCATGTCTGTTCCAGGGCTGAGCCAATTAGTGATGGTGCCTGTGCCTCTACAATAATGTATTTAAGAAGGGGAACCTGGGAGAATGAGTGGGAGTTGTGAGGAGCAGTTGCAAGGAGGACACCTATGCAAACACTGAGGTCAGTGGAAGAAAGTAGGAGGGAAGGTGCACTGGAGCAGAGACCCCCCTGCAGCTCCCGGTGGGGCAGGCTGTGCCCCTGCAGCCCATGGAGGTCCACGGTGGAGCAGATCTCCACCTGCAGCACCTGGGGGACCCCACGCTGGAGCAGGTGACTGTGCCTGAAGAGGGCCAGGACTCTGTGGGAAGCCCCCACTGTTGTAGTAGGTGCTGGATGATTACACCATGCAGGAGGGATCCACACTGGAGCAGCTCAGAAAGGGCTGTGACCTCTGGGAAAGACTCATGTCAGGGAAAGTTTGTGGAGCACTGTGTCCTGTGAGAGAGACCATGTTGGGGCAGGGGATGAATGCGAGGAGTCCTCCTACTGAGGAGGAAGGAGCATCAGGACTGACTGAAATCTCCCAATTCCCTGCCTCCTGAGCCTCTGGTAGGGAAAAGGTAGAAAAATTGGGAGCAAAGCTGAGCCCAGGAAGAATGGAGGGTTAGGGGGAAGGGTGTTTTCAAGATGTGGTTATACTTCTTACTGTCCTACTCTGTGAAGTGTTGGTGTTAGTGTTTGAATTAAATTAATGTTCTTTTTCTTCCCCTAATGTGTCTGCCTCTTGACCTTGACCAAAATGGGTGAGTCATCTCTCCCTGTCCTCATCTTGATTCCTGGGCCTTTTGTTGTATTTTCTCATTCCCATCCCTGTGGAGGAAGGGGTGAGTGAGCCACTGTGTGGTGCTCAGCTGCCCTCTGGGCTCAGGCCAGAAAACTGGAGAATGCCTAAATGGGTGATTATGCCTTGGCACTTGTAACTCTACCTTTTGTGAAATACAGGCTTTTTAAGCCATGCTGGATAAAGATGGAAATACCAACTCTCTGTAACTATGTATATGTGTCATCAGTTCCAGGAAGATCACTCAGTGTTTTCAAGAACTTTTGGCTGGGGACCTGTCCTCCAAAATGACACTGTTGTGCCTTTATGAGAAGCAGCAAATATTGTTGTTTCCAGAAGCCAGTAATATCATGTTTGCCTTCATGAAAACAAGTGCTGAAGGACTAATATGCAGTAGGGTTAATGAAAGGCTGTGACTTAGCACTGTATATTCAAATAACTTAATGGGAGTAAAAAAGTAATTGTTTATTTTCAGTGGTTTTCCATTTTTGCAAAGCATTTAGCTGATAAGGAAAAACACCAGCATGCTAAGGGAAATGAGAAACTGTTGTTACACAAACACAAACAACTGAGAATCATGCAGCTGGGCTTTGCAACCAAACAATATGTAAAAAAGACCAAAAATGCCTTTATTTTCTTTGCAAGAAATATATATTAACATCTACTGTAAGTGCATTCTGGTCTTCCTGCAAAATATATGAAAAAATAACTTAGCAAACAAGAAGGAAATAAAGCGACAGAAATGCCTTTTTTGAATTCTGACTCCAGTGGCTTATGGTGAAAGGGGACAACAGGAGTAGATGAGGAGTACTGTGCTGGGATGTGTTGTTTGCAATACCAGAACATGTTTTTTGCACATGTCTGCATATTCTTTACACTTTTTCAAATACCAGATACCAAATGGACTGTGATAACTCTTCTTCACCATTGATACTACCACCATTTTCCACCACAGCCTCCTTTTCCCCATCAGCGTTCCAATCCCCATTGAAATTGCAACTCCTTCCAGACCTGCTTTGGTGGTACAGCAACTAGTATAATGAACAGTTGTTCCTGACAGAGGCTTCAGATTATTAACATGATACAAAACTGTATTAAATGCAATGATGTGTTAATATCTGATAATTTTTTCTATGTTATTCTCCAATATTCCCCTGTTACCCTTTTTCATGGAAGTGATTTGTAAGCAGCAGAGGGGACTTGTATTAATTCTGTAAGAGCAAATGTCAGTAATTTTGCCTCTTCTGGAAGCTGGTTAACAGAAATGCTCTTTTGTGTTGCCAGACAACTGGCTCTGCTGACAGATGGGCTCTGCATCTCACACCTTGCCTAGCAGAGCATTTGAGGAGTTTAGAAGTCAGATGATTTGATGAAATATAATGTAGTACTTCAAAGATGTAAGTGCACTTGGATCTCAACCTGAACAGGATGTACTTTCGTGAGGGGATGCAAGGTGAACTTACTGGTACTGCAGCACAAGACCATGTAGTTTCTTGTTGCTCAAAGGGAGAGAGCACATGGATCTCTGGCTCAGTGAGTTTGCTGAAGAATGTGTCTGTTGAAAGCTGTGTAGTGAACAGTGTAGTCAACAGCTATTTAAATGATGTGATGAGTTAAGTTAAAGGAATGTCTTGTAAAGTTTTCCTTCCGTCTTGCAATAGCAATCCTTCTGCTTCAGAAAACTGGGGTCATGAAACCTGCAGGCTAAACATGTTACTGAGTAATTCACATAAAATCAGAGGATTCATGGGGGTTTGCATGCATCACATCATTCTGACACCTATGAAACTCTGTCACACATAACACAAAAATGGTGGTGAAAATGCTTGCAATTGCTAATTAGTTCTCAAAGTGCACCTGGGAGACAGAAAGAATAACTCAGGTAAGTGACTTTAGAAGGCCTTGTAGTGAGGCAGGATGTATAATGGCACATCATGAAATTACCTGGATCACATGTGTCATGGTTTAACCTGGCAGGCAGCTGAAGACCTCACAGCCGCTCTCTCACTCTCCCTGCCCCCAGTGGATGGGGAAGAGAATCTGAAGAAAGAAAAGTAAAATTCGTGGGTTGAGATAAAGACAGTTTAATAGGACAGAAAAGGAAGGGAAAATAATAACAATAGTAGTAGTAACAGTAATAATTTATAAAATAATTATAATATACAAAACAAGTGATGCACAATGCAGTTGCTTACCACCCACTGACCAATGCCCAGCCAATTCCTGAGCAGCGGCCCCTGGCCAGCTTTCCCCCTAGTTTATATACTGAGCGTGACATCATATGGTATGGAATATCCCTGTGGCCAGCTGGGGTCACCTGTCCCAGCTGTGTCCCCTGTCATCTTCTTGTCCCCCCCAGCCTATTTGTTGGTGGGGTGGGGTGAGAAGCTGAAAAGTCCTTGACTTAGTGTAAACACTGCTTAGCAACAACTAAAACATCAGTCTATTATCAACATTATTCTCATCCTAAATCAAAACCACAAGGGATATTGATGGATCGGTAATCATGATAACACCTGTGAAAGGTCAGGCTGGACTTAGGACCTCTAAATACATAAAAGGTGTTAGGGACATCAGCCCATCTGAAGTGCATGTATACCAATGCACACAGCATAGGTAACAAACAGGAGGAGCTTGGAGCCGTGATTAAACAGGAAAATTATGATGTCGTGGCTATTACAGAAACGTGGTGGGATGTGTCCCATGACTGGAGTGTGCCAGTTGATGGCTACAAGCTCTTTAGGAGGGATAGACAAAGAAGGAGAGGTGGTGGGGTGGTGCTGTATGTTTGGGACTGTTATGATTGCTTCAAGCACAAGTATAGTGAAGACAGGGTGGAATGTATTTGCATTAGAATCAGGGGCAAGGCCAACAGGGCACATGTTGTAGTAGGAGTCTACTAGAGACCACCCAACCATGACAGAGGGGTGGATGAAATATTATGTAGGCACTTAGGAGAAGTCTCACAATCACTTGCCCTTGTTCTTGTGGGAGACTTTAACTTCCCAGACATCTGCTGGAAATACAACACAGCAGAGCGGGACCAGTCCCAGAGGTTCCTGGAATGTGTGGGAGACAGCTTCCTGATGCAGCTGGTGAGTGAAATGACCAGAGAAGGTGCCCTGCTGGATCTCCTCTCTGTGAACAGAGAAGGACTGGTGGATCATGTGGCGGTTGGAGGCCAACTAGGGCACAGCGATCATGAAATAATAGAGTTCTCTATTCTTAGAGAGACCAGAAGAGGGGGGAGCAGAACTGACATCCTGGACATCCAAAGGGCTGACTTTGTCTTGTTTAAGCAACTGCTTGGCAGATCCCTTGGGAGACAGTCCTGAAGGGTATAGGAGTCCAGGAAGGCTGGGCACTCTTCAACAATCAAGTCTTAATGGCTCAGGAGGAGGTGGTCCCCAGGTGCTATAAGAGAAGCTGGCGCCAGAGAAGGACACCCTGGCTGAACAGGGAGCTTTGGCTGCAACTCAGGGAGAAAAGGAATAAGGGGCTAGTCACTCACAATGATAATAAAGATCCTGTGAGGCTATGCAGGGTGGAAATCAGAGGTTTGAAGACCACCTAGAAACTGAACTGACTTCAACAGTCAAAGATAACAAGAAATGTTTCTATAAGTACTTCAACAGCAAAAGAAAGACCAGGGAGAGCCTCCATCTATGCTAGACACAGGAGGAAACATGGCAACCTGCCACGGACAGGTCTTATAAGGAGCGGCTGAGGTAACGGGGGTTGTTTAGTCTGGAGAAGAGGAGGCTGAGGGGAGACCTCATCGCCCTCTACAGCTCCCTGAAAGGAGGCTGCAGAGAGCTGGGGATGAGTCTCTTTAACCAAGGAACAAGTGATAGAGAGAATGGCCTCAAGTTGTGCCAGGGAAGGTTTAGACTGGATATTAGGAAGCATTTCTTTCCAGAAGGGGTTGTTGGGCGTTGGAATGGGCTGCCCAGGGCAGTTGCAGAGTCCCCACCCCTGGAGGTGTCTAAGAGTCAGGCTGACATAGCGCTGAGGGATATGGTGTAGTTGAGAACTGTCAGTGTTAGGCTGATGATTGGACTGGATGATCTTCTTTTCCAACCTAGATGATTCTATGACAGGCTTGCATTCTACTATATGTACATATACTTACAAAGGAGCATAACATCACAAGTGTATCACTGTTTCTTGGGCTTTTGCTGTTAAAATCCCTGCCATCACTGAAGAATAGTTAATATTTTTTTCTTGCATGTTACAGCTTGTGCTAGGCAATTGATTTTGCACAGCTTGTTTACCAAATTTGAAGTGGTGGAGTACTGAAATTAATTTCAAATATGTGTAAAAATTGGCTTATGGTCTTGCATACAGCCAAAAAAAAAAAAAAAAGTATGGAAAAAATGAAACCTTTCATAACAAAGTATTTTAATAATAAAGTATTTTAATTATGAAGGGTTTGTCAAACCCAACAGGAGTTTTCTTCCATTCCCCATGAAAGAGTCAAGTGTTTTTTGTTGTCCAGATGCTGCCAATGACAGGAGAACTCCTGTCAGAAGGACATTTTGGCTTTTCCTGAATGTCTTCAGGCTCTGCTCCAGAGGAGTATTCCATCAGAATTCCAGAAGGGCAGACATTCAAACATGGGCTGCTAAGACCCTCTAAAATCTGCATGCAGTGTATCTTCCTTGAAATACAGGCTGTGCTACCCGTGCCCGAGTGCTTTTCTCAAGATTTACTTTGGGCTTTGCTTGTGCAGCTCCCTCTGAAGAGTTTTGTTTGCTTCAGCCCCTGTCTCGCTCTCCTTGTTGCACTGCGGGGACTGGAGCCTCTTCAAGATGGAAGCTGCCCTTTGACATCAGCAGGAGAAGCGTTTGCTTGTCACTGTGCTGAGTGACACAACCTGTGAGGATCTGGTCCCCAGGGTGTCTGAAGGAGATACACCAAGATACTGACTTTAATGTGCACACATCTGGTGATACAGATTTGATGCAAGTTTTCTAATCAAGTTTTTAGCTCACTGAGGGTAATGTAACATTTTAGGCAGATTGCTTAGAAAAGCCTCTGCTTGAAAAAAAAAAAAAAAAACAACAACAAAAAACCCAAGCATAATTAAATATGCCAATCACTTTCCTGTAGGATATTTTGCATTAGACCACTATTCCCACTGTTGAGGAGTAGTAATCATGCAGTATAAATATATATAAATGGAATTTCTTAAATCAAGCATGTTGTCCAAGTTACAACTATCATTAACATATTCAAAAGATCATATGCCAGGAAGTTATCATCTGAATATACATAAATTACGATTAAATACGTACATTCACTAAACTCACTAAAATGTGGAGGGGTGTTGAGTTACTGACAAGCTGAAGTTGTTAGAAAACAAGACAGTAATTAAGGTTTCCATTGCACACTTCCACTGTTTCATACTGAGATGTTCTACAAGCATCATAAATGATGTGGCATTTTGCAGACTTGATGTCTGTAGCTGTACTTTTACTTAAGTGAACCTGGACTTGCTTCAGTTATGTCAGGCTTTTGTTTCTTGTTTGCAGGTTTGGGAGAAGAAGGAAGTTGCCAAGCCACGTCTAAGACCCAGACAAGCAAGAAAGTCTGCGGGAGGCTATGTGAAAAATTAATGCATTTTGTGCCAAGAAAAAATAAATTTGATATTTGTGAGGAAAGTGTGGCTTCCTCTATTGAAACAGGGACAGCTGTCACTGAACTGGCCAAATACGTCCTGCAGGGGTACCTTTACCAGGTAGCAGAGCTCTAACTGCAGTGCTGTGCTGTATCTGTGACCAAGGGACTCCAATGCTGCCCTGCTGCAGGTGAGTGCTTAAGCCCCTTTAGTGTAATCTGTCAGACATGGCCTTGTCTCTTGTGTTGGGAAGAAAATATTGGAGGAACTTGGTTTTTGATTGCTTATGAGACTGTTATACCTCCCAGTGATGTGACAGGATAATCCTTCCTCAGTATGCAGTGGAATTCAGTGGAGAAATAAACCCTTTACTGAGAACACATGGTCCGTTAAAATCACTTTGAAAGACAGTGATGGAAATAACTGCAAAGCCAATTGCTGCTCCTGAGTGCCTTTGCAGAGGTGGCTGAGCACTGAAAATCAGCATCAAATGCTTCAGTTTGCACAAAGGTTCAGAGGGAGTTATATGAGTGATTGCTGCATAATGCTGCCAAAAGGATTTTGTCAGTCTAAATTTTAATCTTGCTTTGCATTTTCATGCTTGTTTGCTTAAAAAAAGTTGTTTCATGTTGATAGCTATAAAGATATAAAGATTTCAAAGTAAATACTGCCTTTATAATAACTGCAGGTTTTTGCAACCATAAGGTTATATAGAATCATCACATACTTACTTCAGCAAATATTTATTGTGGTTTTAAAATTTCACAGTTAAATTATGTTGAAAAATGAGAAATGGAGTATTTACTTTTTAATTATTAGTGTTTTATATGGTGAATATTTGTCTGCCTACATTTGTGTGGACATTGGAGATCAAAATACCTTGAAACTAAAGTTTTAAAATAACTGTAAAAAATTATATAAAAATATCTTAAATATGATACAGAAATAAAAAGGTAAGCTCAGCAAAATGAATGTTGCACATAAAACTAGTAGGCATATTAAATAAAGATAACATCTACTTATCTAGCAAATATTACTGACTGCTTGTTGTCACCATGCTCTTCAGATTTGTTTTTTTAAATTATGACATTTCTTTGTTTCCCACATTTTTAGTCAAAATTGAAGTGCAGCAATAGCCTTCCAGTGTTCTCATTCCCTGGTGAACTAGTTCAAATGAAGCAACATATACACCGCCCTGTGAGTGCACAGACACAAAGGCAAAACCTTTTTGCCTGTAGGGGATGTGTCCCTGTACTTGCCTAGAAGATACAGAAGGTATAAATTTGCAGAGCACATCATCCTCACACACAGCTTGATGTGGAGTTGCTCCCTTACAACCAAAAGAGTGTCTGTCTGTGTGAGCTCCTTGATCAGCCCAGGATGCATTCCTGTGATGGTGGCACTCTTTTTCATGTCTGTCCTGGTTCAGTCAGGACAGAGTAAAGTTTTCCCCAGCAGAGAGAGAGGGGGAAGGGATCTCCAGCCGGGTTATTCATACCATGCTGACGTCAGGTCCGGGGGCGGAACCTTTTCCTTGCTCCTTGGTGGGTTCGGGAGGGAATTTTGCTTTCCGTAAACCAGCTAGCGGTATTTCTCTATATATCATTTGTCTTGTTCACTGTTATTGCTGTTTATTGTTGTGACCATTGACACTGTTGTTATTCAGATCGTTCTATCACTCTGTTGTATTAAATTTCTTGTTATTTTAGCCGGGGTCTGTGTCTAACTTCCAACCCGACCGGCGCGGGTGGGAGAGGGGCAATGGCCATGTGGTCCCTGATCCTGGCAACGATTAAAACTTGCACAATGTCTCATGTGGGTCAATGCTGTTTCCACCTCTGCCATGGTACAGAAACTTTGCTCTAGATTTGACTCAAGAGTGGTCTGGGGTCAGTACTGAAATCCCTAGGAGTGAACTAAACCTCTCTGACTGAGCTGGTTGGAAGGAAACCTTGTGTTCTCCTCGCAGCTTGATCTGGAGGCTCTGTGGTGGTGACTACCTATAACAATCTCATCCCTCCCACTTTCCTTCAATGAGGAAGGCAAGCAATGTCTCCTGGAGTCTTTGACAGAGAAGAAGAGAAGGTGAAGGTTTGGTCCTAACCAGTGTACTGAGTGGTGGAGATATATTAGTGCTGGCACAGAATATCTCTACGGATAAGCACATATGCTGTATTATGTGCAATAGGGCATCACACACTGAGCAGCTCAAGTGGCTTGGCAATACACCTCTAAAACTTTTCTACATCTGTATGTTATTCCAGGTGAAGTTTGGCACTTCAAAATCTAGCATTTTAAAGTCTCAGTTATATTTCAGGGATCTGATTTACTTTAAGGCTTGGCCAGTAAATACCACACCTCCTGAGCAGTTCTTGATCTGTGGAATTTTGTTGTGATTGGTAGGACTCCAGGATGATACTTAACTATTCTGCCTTAGTACTCTGTAGCTCTTCAGCAGTTTGCCTCGTACTATTCTTTGAGTGGAGAATAGCAGACTGAAAATAAGGCAAGGCGTTTTCTACACCTACGTCTTTATTGCCTCTGATTATACTTTCTGGTTGAACCTTTCTACACTGTTTCTTAAGATGTTTTTCTGTTTATTTTATTTTTTAATTCCACATCACAGTAGCAATCTTGTAATTTTTTCTAATCTGTGAAATTATTTTTAGTGTATACCAAACATTTTATGTGTTAATCTGTAGCACAACAGAATTTAAACTGGGAGTGCTGAACATTATTTGTTTCATAAATCCTTCAAATATACTCGCCCTCCCCTCCCTCAATCCACTTCAGTATCATATTTGTGAATCTTGTCTTTAAACTTGAGATAAATGTTTCAGTCTCTACTCTTTTATGGAGAGAAGGGAAGGTTTCCATATTGAGGAATTTCTTATGTACAGAGATGATCACAACTATTCAGGGAAATTCATTGGAGTTTCCTAGAACAGAACTCTCTGTGGATCTAGTTTATGAGAAATTTTGCATACAAATATTATGGTTTTATATTTATAGAAAATATACTTTATAAATTTGGTAGAATTACTTTTCTCTCTGTAGGTAACATTTCAATTGTTACCAACATTTCCATCCATAACTTCGTAGTTACATTTTCCATTTGAAGAAACAATGCCCTTTTAAATTTGTACCTTGGAATGATAGGATATATTACATCCTTTCTACACTGTAATACGCAGACTATCAATATTAAGTAGTCCTGCACAAATTCAGTAACTTTTGAAGTGTTATATTGCTTTAATTGTGTGAGGCTTAACTTGAATTCTTATTGACATGCAGTGAATATAAATAAAGCTTTTTTTTCAAAACTCATTACCAGAATCCCATCCCATGTCTCTCTCAGGATGGACAGGTTAGAGCTAGCTCAGCTACATCTATTCATAATATATAAATGGATTTACTGACATCTTGGTATTTGTTAATGGAAATTTTAATATTGGAGAGTGCTGATTCATTTCTGTGCCCAGTTTAGTGTTCTTCTTTTCTGAGGATCATTTGATGACTGCTCCTTTTTTTTTGTTTTTTTTTAAACACTGTTT